GGGGGGGGGTTCCGTACACGTGTTATCAGTTGTTGACTGAATGCCCCTGAGATGTCCTCACTGAAGTTCTCAAACTAATTGTGTAAGCTGGCTTTCAGATAGGTACAAAGTGGAAAAGCTTTTGCCTTAAAATGACAAAGGACCCTTTCAGGGCCATGATACAAATGTCTTCTCCCTGTAAACTAAACAAAAATCTCATAACTTTATTCAGATTTATTGGTTTTTCTCTTTCTGCAATGGGTTGGCACCCAGTCCTGGGTTATTCCCTGTCACGGGACAAACGAGTATGGAAGATGGATGGATGGATGGATGGATGGATGGCTAGCTGGCTGGTTATTCTCCTTAGCTCTTTCCTCTAAAGAGAAACCCCCATGTGAAAGTCTGGTATACTTTGGTGCAGATTCATCATGTGTGACCTCTGTCTTTCTCCCTCCACATAAATAAGTCGTACACTTTAATGTGAAGTTTCCCTTTTTTGTGCTTTAATTCCTTTGAGAAAAAAACAAATCGGTGCAGATTTCGCACTGGTACAGATTCCTGATAAATACGGGTCTTTGTTTGCAGCTTCCTGTGAAGCTTGCAGAAATGCAGGGGGGGGGGGGTGCGGGCCATTGTGGAGATGAAGTTTTAATATTTAAAAGGCATTTAACTGCGTGTCGTCTATTACCTTAAAGATTAAAAGATGGGCTAACCAGGTAGGAATCCCAGCTTATGTGCTGTACTTGTGGAACAATTACCAGCGCTTTCCCTGTTGTTTTTTTGTTTAATCATAAGACATTTTTGTCTGGTTAATATCCAGGTTCTTATGCTCAATTTAAGCTATAATGAAACAAAAGAAAAGTATTCAAAAACTCTTCTGCTGTAACGATATTTGTGCAGTGAGAAGGCACACTTTATTTTTATATTATTCTTTTTTTTAATCACTTTGACATGCCGTGCCTTGGTAGATTTAGCTGGCACTAGATATTGGTAATGATTTCATTGTCTTGACGTATGTCTCAACTGAAGTTTTAAAAACATTAATTAAAAGTTCATTAAACTGCAATATGTGCACCCAGACAATTTACAGCTTGATTGTACTGAAAGTGGAGCTATTTTTACTGTTGTTTTTTCTGATATGAAGGGTGTTATATGTTTATATATTTGATCAGAATGATAAGGTCTAGAGTACAGTGCTTACCAGGTTACTTACTGTCATACAATTAAAATATTTAAAATGTCCTTGTATTCGCTATAGTCACAAGCATATGAAGAAGTATTTTCCAGCCCGTGCAGTGTTTGCATTGACCTGTCTAATCACCATTTTAGTTCAGACATCAAATCCTAATTTGCTTTATACTTTCACTCTGATGACAATATTTTGAAAGAATTTCTCAGTATTACGAATGCTGATCAGTATTTTGTAGCTTCCCTCAAATTTAATTTACTGGCCAGTTGCCGGTCTTTGATTTCTCATTATGTCGTACGGCAGTTGTGGCCTCTGAATGGCACCACAAAAAGAGACATTTGATTGATTTGCTGATTTACGTACGTTGGTCCCTTGGCACGTACCACCTGCCCACTGTCCCATTGCTGTAATTCAGGGAGTTTTGCGTGAACGTGATTTGAGGTCAGTTCTGTGCTGAATGTGCCATTCAGAGAAGGCAAACCTCTTTCCATGTCATGGCTCTACAATTTATAGATCTATTTGCTTATGTAAAATATTTCATTTTTTACGTATTATTTTAATAAACGGCACTCGCACTGGGTGCCCAGATGTCACCAGGGCGGGCAAAAAATTTACCAGGATTTTACTACTGCCTGGTGCTGAATGAATTCAGACATTAGCACATTAATTTTGATTTGCTTAACTGCACATCAGGCCCCTCAATACAATCGTTTTTGCATTTTTTCCAGCCCAAATCATTTACGTAGGGATGTCACAGCGAACCGAAATCGATGTCAAAACGTATGTACACGCTGGCATAGACCAAACATCAGTATACAAATCACTTCATGATGTTGCCCCATAGAAAAGTCTGACACCGGCCTTCTGTGCTGTGGGAACGTGTCGCTAAAGTTTGAGGGATGAATGAACGGGGCATGCGGTCCAATGGCAAGCGGTCAAAGGAGAAGCAGCTGGTCAGGTTGAACGGGGCATAACCAAGGAGTTAACCATTAATGTTTAGGGTTAAAAACTGTGAGCCACACTGTAAGAATATGTGTTACAGTGTGACAGACCTGTCCAATCAATACCTCCTGGAATTCTATGGAAGCATAAATCACGTTTTACGAGTGAGGGCCTGATGCATGTATTACTTCACATTTTAAGGATTGCAAAACAAGCCCCCCATTAAAGAACTGACATTAAGAAAGTCTTTGTTTTGAAAACTTATAAAGAGATGTAATTTGTCAGATCAGGAAGCAGTGGCCAGCTTTAATATACAGTGCCTCGTGGATACGTGCTGTTGGACTCATAATCATAAATCTTTATGGTGTTTCTGACAGCTTCCGTGTCCCTTCCTCGATTAACAATCCCAATGGAATGGATCCCAATGGAATGGATCCCAATGGAATGGATCCCAATGGAATCTAGGCAGCTGCCTCGCCAGCCATAACTCATTTAACGGAGAGCAAAGCCCTGTTTGTGTATAGAATTTTTTGTTGTACAAAAAAGAGGTTTGTTTCCCTTTGCCAAAAGGCAATAAATCTCCTTCATTTCCATTTGTAGGTATGAGCAAGTAAAAACAGCGGCCATGGATGTGAGGGACTGGATATTAACATCGTTCTAGTGATAGAGGGAAAAAGCAGGAGGCGTTTGGTGGTGTGAACACGCAGTTTTTTGCATGCTTATCACAGTGCTTTTACTACATATCCTGCTTCATCCCTCGACATTAATCCCTGCTATTTGAGCTGAAAAGATTTTGTGTTTTCTCTCTCCGCCCGCGTTGTTTTTTTAAGTGGGTATTTGTAAAGGTCTTAGCTCGTGTTTAAATCTTACGCAGATTAACTCCATGGGGATGTTACGTCCAACAAAGAAACATTTTAATTCCGGAGTTCAAAGGCCACTTCCCCCTTGCCCCACTCTCCCGAGGTGACTTTAATGTGTCACTTGAATCATAGCAACAGGAGGGACTGTCATCCTCAAGCGGGGTCAAGGTATCCTTTCATGAAGCGCCACCCGCTCACGATGTCAATTGACTTGTAAATTAAACACTTCACACGCAGAGATAAAACCTGTATTAATGTATATCAGATAAAGGATCTATTAAATAGGCATTCTGTATCGCTTCGGTGACTGCTGGTGATTCACTCTCCAAATGGAAATGAATTTCCCTCAGCGAGGGAGGAGGGAAGAAAAACAGAAATGCAGCTGACAGCCTTTTCTTGAACCAGTAAACCACAAAAATTGTGCTCACGCTTTAACTGGCGCAACAGCTTTGGCAGAGTCTCTGAATCAATATCGGAGTGTCAATTAAACATGGCAGAATTGCCACGGGGAGATGGCGCTCCCAAACCCTCCACTCGGCACATCTGCGAAATGCGGAGCGTGTTTCCGCGCTGCTGGGAGCACGAGCTGGAAGGAAAGGCCGACCAATGCTACAGGAAGCGGCGGGATGTGAGGGGGAATGGCGTTTGAGGCCCCCTCCCACATCAAGCCAACCATCACCTGCCAAGACCGACTCCCTCCTCCCAAAAACACGCAGATACACACCCATCAGCCCCAGAAAGTTGCTTCATTCCTGTCTGTCATCCTAAAAGCTGTGTTTGTGTGTGTGTCCCCCCCCTGGCCCCTGGCCCCCCCTTCCCAGGTGAGGACAGCAGTCCCGAGAACCTGCTCCTGCATGGCCCCTTCTCCCGCAAGCCCAAGCGCATCCGGACGGCTTTCTCACCCTCGCAGCTCCTGAGGCTGGAGCGCGCCTTCGAGAAGAACCACTACGTGGTGGGAGCTGAGCGCAAGCAGCTGGCCAACGGCCTGTGCCTGACGGAGACGCAGGTGAGGACGGGATAAGCCGGCCGGGGGTGGGGGGTGCTGTGGGTCAGGCTGCCATTCCTGTCATCGGAAGGTCACTGGTTCAGATCTCAGGATCACCTGAGCAAGGCCCTTAACGCCCAGTTACTCAAGCCCTGTCTTCTGTGTAAATGTAATGAAGCCACAGACGCCAAATCAGACCTTTGAGGAATCTAGGGGTGCATTTTCCAGTGATAACACAGGTTATTGTTAGATGGTCATTATCTGTCATAGTTATATGGCCTTTCAGTAGCGGCCAGTGATGCAGGAGGCAGCTGGCATTTATTGCGCCGCACGGGGGTGCGCTTCCCAAAAGCAGCTATGCAGTTGTGATGCAAGTGTTTCCCGAAACCATAGTTTGAACTATTCAAAGTAACTTCATTAAGCGACACAGGTGTTTCCCAAAATCATATTTTAAACAAACATTCGCAAACACAGTCGTTAAGTTGTGGCGTTCAGACTACAGCTCTCGAGCTGTGGTTAGAATCCTATCTACATCATCTATGGTGCAAAAGGCAGTCGAAGGAGAGCAGTCACCACTTGAGAAAGCAGAAAACATTCAATAATCTTGCTGTACAAAGACATATAATATCAAGTGCTTTAAAAATTTAGTTGTAATGGTTATTCTATGTATTTCTCTGTTCATGAGTATGGGATGATTGGAGAGGATATTGTTTACTTACTTTTGATTGTGTTATATAGTACATTCATTAAATATAGAAATATATTTTACACTATCACGTCTCAATATCACATTGTGATATGTGAAATTTCCACGAGTAATATTGTGACATTTCTAAAAGAAAAAAGGAGATTAAATTACTCAAAATAAACTATTTGCTAAATAGAACTTATCATCTAGCAGAAGTGTGTCAGAGAAGTCGGTGGTGTTACTGTGAGCTGTGACAACAGATATAGACCAGTGCCGACATAGACCAGTGCCGACATAGACCAGTGCCGACATAGACCAGTGCCGACATAGACTAGTGCCGACAAATGCAATGTGGTTATTGCGCATGCGTACGTTGCAATGACAATACCGAAACGATTTATCTTGCAACGCTTATATTATACATATATATCACACAGACTCACACACACACACAGCATCACATGAAAAAGAACATGGTGGAATTAATGGGTTAAAATCATGAATCAATTCTTAATCACTGAGAGCTTTTGTTGCCATTATGAGAAAGACGAAAAACAAAACACCGCTGGCATAAAAACCCCTGGCTGTGTTAGCAAGAAGGTACATCTGTCACGGTGGGGTATCATGCACACCCATCCAACCCAATGAGCCGCTAGCACAGTGCAGCCAGCAACATCGGACCAGAAATTTACAAGTGTTTATAGTGTGAATAAAATAAAATTAAATTAAATAAATGTAATTAGCCTATTTCATTAAATGCATTGCAATAGCCGATAGGTCTTTTTCCTCAAAAAGAAGAGTATCATATTATTATTTTCACACTATCATTATTAATGAATTGATAGTATTAATATTGCTGTTGTTATAGGATTACAATGTATATAACCTAAGTAATACATTACTAATGTGCTATCATCACAACTGTCATACTTAAGAATAATGAAATGAAGTTTGTGAATTTTTGCATGCTTCCCGCTGTGAAAGTCTGACCAAACACATCTGGGACCATTGTCGACCTACCAACATGGTTCAAACTAGTACGGTACTAACAAAGTACAACGGTTTTAGGAAATTGCCATACTTCGGATGTTTGTTAGTTTAACGATGCGTTGTATCATGTTAGGCCAATGCTAACCTCCGTCACTGTTCGGGATGCGCACCCTGGGACGTTTTTGTGAGGCCGGTGATTACGCGGAAGGATGTGGCGGTCATATGGAGCTTTACGTGCCTGCGGCGCAGGGCACATTCACGGCGAGCCATTCTCAGATGCTTCCCGTACACGTTAAGCCTGTCAAGCTTGTTTTTGGCCTAAAACGCTTGTATCGTTACCTACAAATTGTTTTGTAAGGGGTTCAGTTATCTAAATATGAACTACAAAATCACCAGGAAAGAAATTAATATAAAAGGAGATTCTCTCTGAAGATAAACATAATTAACTCTTTTTTTTTTACCACAGAACATAACAGGAAGCCTTAGGCAAAGCAGGGCTTGGCAGAGAGATTGAAAAATTGCCTTTGTGCTTTTAAAGAAGCCTTTTTTTCTCATGGGCAGACATTTGATATTACTCACATGGAGAGTAAAGGAGATAACTGTGCTTGTCCTGTAGCCAGGACATGAGTGTCACATGGCATCATGATCATCAGTTTTCTTTGTAGGGGGGGGGGGCATAAAGAGGCAGTTTCCTTTCACATGAAGTGGTAAATGTTTGAACACACTCACCACAAACCATGAATGGTTTTAGTTTACAAGACCAGGTCAAGGTTCAAGCAATGAAATAATCATACTTGAAACCCAAAATAGTAACAAAACAGTGATGTAGTAATGCATAAAATTGAAAACCTCACCTACCAATGATCACAGTACACGGTATACAATAGGTACCTAACACTACAAGATAGTGTTCTCAAGCACCATAACACTGATCATCATGGCTGTATGTCAGTGAGAGAGACTCTGATTGGCATCTGTTTTCTCTTCATGGCCAAATGACATTGACAGCTTGGTTTATAGATGGCTTTGATGAGAGTCACTCAAGCCTCAAAAAGCAACATTTTTAGCTTTGATTTTCACAATTGGCTGTTTATGTCAATACATGTGGAAGACAAGAGAAGTCTAAGCTAGACGGGCCATGATGCACGTGCCTAACCAGGTGCCCCCCCCCCCCCCATGTAGGTGAAGGTCTGGTTCCAGAACCGAAGGACCAAGCACAAGCGGCAGAAGCTGGAGGAGGAATCTCCCGACTCCCAGCAGAAGCGCAAGGGCAGCCAGCACGTGAGCCGGTGGCGTGTGGCCACCCAACAGGGCAGCCCTGAGCACATCGACGTCACGTCGGAGGATTGACGGGCCCCCGGTGTCACCAGACTCACCCTGACCTTGCACCCCCCCAACGCCCCCTAACCCATCCCCTCCCCGTCCCAGCTCTCCGTCAGTTACAAACACTTGCCGCAAATGACTCTTGGAGTGAAAATTACAATACAATAAAAAAACTGAAGCACAAAACCTTCATAGAAACAAGTCTAGATCACGTGCGAGATCATCCCCCAGCCAAGTGAATGGAGAACTGCTTCCGGCCCCAGTGCACCAGAGAGGCCCCCCGCAGGACACTGTGCAGGTGCTTGTAAGACACTTTCTCCATGCCGCTCCTGGATGCCACACACGTGTCGTGTGCACGACCAACGAAGGACGCCAGCATGGTCAACTACCATCTTCCTTTCGTTTGAAGGCATCTTGCCACATACCTGGACATGAGGTCTTTTCCTCCGCCGTCCTTATTTAAGACACACACTCTCTTTTGATGATCATCACGTTTGTTTTTTAACCTGTCATTTTAGGTGTATTTTTGTCAGTGATTGTTATGTGTCGAGCACAACCAAGGCTTTTGGTACTTGACTGATGGATCATGGGATAAAACAGAATAGGAGTCTGTCTTCATCTCTTTATCATGCTAGTCTATGCAATTTATGATAAATTAATTTGAAAATGCAAACACGACAGAGCTAAATTAAGACTGAAAGGTACATAAAATGTTTGTTATAATATTTTGTTTTAAAATTATTGAAATTAGTTTTTGTGCCCCCTCATGAAGTTAGAATAGATTTTTTTATATTTAAAATTCAGCTAATAACATCACATATATAGTCTTGGATACATTTGATTTAATTTAAAAAAAAAAGGGGAAAAAACAAAATTGTATTTTAGTTTTTCTGAATATTATCAAGTTTTAACACTTAAAGTAAAATGTACATTTTCCAGTTTGGAGGGCAAATGACCAGATATTTTCAACCCCAAAGAAGCTGCATTATAGCAAAGTATTTCCCACCATTTATGTAAAATTCACATTTTCATTTCGAAGTAACATTAACAACAGTGAGAGTCAACACCGATAATTAAGAGTTAAGAGTTTGTTATATAGCCGGTACCTGAGATTTCATTGCATTGTTATTACTTTGAAAATAACTTGAAATTAACGTCATAAACGAAATAACTACAATGGTAATAATAATAATTTTATTGTTATTATTAATATCAATCTGTTTTATTTTAAAGCATCTGTGGATAGAATGAAAAAAAATGTATATTTCTTTTTGCGTAAATCATTTTTAAGGAATGACGAATTGGTGTAATACTCAGATGTGTAGATTTTAAATGTGTTTAAATATGTTTTACTGGCCTTTCAGTTTTACTCATGAGGTACGAACATTCTGATATATTTAAGCAGCAATATATGTGTGTTTATTTAGTTTTTTAATAGTTATTTTCCTCATTTGAAATATTTTCAAATGTAAATTCCATTAGGTAATGCACCGATCTGGGAGACAAATCTACTTAATGATAGCAGCGGCTTTTCCCATTTATGTGCCTAAAAATCTGGTAATAAAAACGAACGCTCGCGTCCAATTGAGTCTGCAATCTGTAAAAGGAAAAGCACACATTTTGAAAATAAGCCATTTTATGTATTTTCTTTTTACATAAGCACTGGTTGTAAATATATTTTCTTTTTGAAATTTTAAATGCCGTTTTCTGATTTTTTTTCTCCGACATAAGCCGTGATTGAATCGAACTACACGTTTCGTCAAATATTTTTCAAATATCACGCTGACAATATATTCGTAGTTTCCACAGAAAATGCTTTGTTATTGTTAAACACAATTCCTTGAATTTTGAGCATCATCACCAAACGGAGTAGTGTCTCTAAATCATTGGTCAAAAGGTAAAACACGCTAGATATATTAAATGAATATATCAATACGTGTAAATGACCACGATATAAATAGCATTTTGTTTTATTATTTAATTTGACGTGTAGTCAAGCGTTCCAGTACATTACAGACTTTTCCAGATGTAGTACAGACTTCAGTAACTGTAAGAATCAAAATGCATTGAAATCACGTAAAGCGTTAAAAATTATTGTTAAACTCGCATTCTTAAAATGCAACCCTTTCTCCGAAAGTGAAATATTAAAATAGGTCAAATAAATCAGTAGCGTATTGTATTACGAAACGTGGATGGGCGGTTGTATAATTTTGATAACTGTGGAGTATAATTCCAAAGAGAACTTATAATTTAATGAGGAAAATACGTGAGAAAATAAACGATGTCACAAGCACATTCATTAGGGCTATAAACTACAACAACAATAACAAAAATAATTATAAGATTATAATAATAGACTTTGCCTAATATATGTCTGGATTTGTAAATGAGTTTTGAGAAATTCCTCTTCGCTGTAAGTATCCTTCAGTCTCCAGTCCGTTTTGAAAGCAGTGTGTGTGTGTGAGAGAGTGAATGTGTGTTTATATGTATGTTTAGGACAAAAAAATTGCCAAGATAATGGCATGGTTTTCTCTAATGAAATGAAGCAGTTGTATTTATAGCTGCATTAGAGAGCAATATTTATAAAGATCCTGCTCAATCTTATTTTAAAAGTCAGGTTTTGTCCACGCAAACAGGTTGTATAAGGTACCTGAGCAGAACATCCACTTTTTGGCAGCTACGAAGATTGCATTCATTGCGCTGGGAGGCAGCGTGACGGAGCGGTAGAGGGCACTCTTACTGTCGGACAAAGTGAAACCCTGTAAACAGCAGAAAGGAATTACGTCTCAAAAATGTCCTGCTTGCAGCTAATCTGTTTACAGCCCGATAAAATTAGTTTATAATGTTGGTCTCACTTAAGCGTATCTGATTATTCTGTTCGAAATGGTGGCTGGCGATATAATTTAATTCGTAAAATCGATAGTTAATTGCTATAGGATCCGGAGAAGGAACTGCGGTAAAGCGGTATGAAGTTATTGTTGGATTCAACTTTATTTTTCACAGTTTACGGCTGTTCATATTTGTGTTTTCGTTCCAGACTCATTGAGATATTTTTCAAACATTTTACATAAAATTATTCACGGTGGCATAGCCAACAATCTGTTACAATTTGCTTAGCTGCAATTCATTGATCGCCCGGCGTAAATAAAGTTTCATTTTGGGAGCCCCCATTAGTTCGCAAAATAAAACCAGTCTGAACACGAATTTTTACGAGCAAAGTATAAAACGCGAAGAGGAAGACAAGTCTACGTTTTTTTTTTTGTTTTTTTTTCTTTTCTTTAAAAAAAAGGCTTTTTACGCATTTTCAATCATTGTGATTAAACTGCAGCTGTTTGTAACAGGCCTAACAGAGGTATTGTGTTATATAAAAAACCCTTTAACCACAGACCACGTTACCCTGCCCTACACTTCTGACAATCTCAGCTGTACTAACTGCAAAGTCGCAGCGTGAAATGCGCATTACGCCACACGCCAACCTAAATTTTGTTATGGCCACTAATTAACGGACGCATATTATTGATGACCATTGCTTGTTTAACCCAGTAACCTTAAAGTGTGGTTATAATGAGGTAAAGGGTTAAGTGGGCGCCTGGTTTATTTCACCTGAGACTTGTTAACTCCATCTGCGAATTGGCTGCGATCGCCAGACCCCCTCCTCCCATTACCTGATGCGATCTCTTGTTAGGAGTGTGAAGGTGGGATAGTGAATCACTACCATAGCAGGTGATGAAGCGGCAAGGGGAGCCAAGTCAAAACAGCGTCAAGACGACTGAGAAGCGAAAGGCGGCCTCTCACGCCGGCTCGCTGTATCTGAAATGTACGAGAAACTTTAAGAACAGTAGCACGCGAGCATAGGCCTACTTAAGACTTGAGACGAACATTTTAAATATTCTGCCAACTTAAATTTGTTTGCAAGACATTAAGGAGATATTGAGAAAAACGGAAATTTTGGTGGTGGAAGGGCGGAGGGTAAAGCCCAGGGGAAGTGAGCATGTTGATCCGAATCTCCCAGCGAAGAAAGGAAATAAAATTCCTTTCCACTATGGAGCCATTGTGCTGTTTAATAGGCATTTTCAGAATGTGCAGCGTAGCTGTACGGCGCGAGATTAAATCTGCAAATTATCGCATCCTCTAACCTCCTTCCTGTTCACACTGTGTATTTTGGGCGTTTATTTTATTAATATATATGTTTTATTGAGATTAGTTGTTAATGCGTGTAATCCATTGTCCTATAATTAGAGCCTCCCCAGAAAAAGATTCGCATCTGATCATGTAATTTTTTTCTATGGCCGTATCAGATAAATGCGGTTTGTAGGTTTTCCGTCATATAATCTGTTCCCACTAAAGTTGTTTTTCAAGACCTTATTTTCCGCTGGATGTTGTGGTTCTCTCTTAAAATTCAACCTGTTTTTCTGCACGATTTATTTATGATCCTGCTGATTGATAGTAAATTGTTCACTGGTGCCTCTGAGCTGTAGGCTGTTAGTTACACCAGCTGGGAAATTAATACATGTCACGCTTCTGCACTGTGAGCTACACCTGCTAATTCTCCCAGCCTACAGCAATCGCGAGGTGTTGGATCTATCCCGTCCTCATCACCTTTTTACAATAGTCAGTCTCATTATGAGCCGATATGCATATAAACTGTGAAAGAAAATGTATGAGCAAACCAGCTTTTTCTCTCCTAAATTGCAGAAGATTATCGACTGGGGTTTTAGCTAAGTTCAGGCAGGCACCCAGATATCCTCTTACAATGGAGATTGCAGCTTAAATGGGAGAATCAAAAGAATGATTTTACTTGGCATGTCCGCTGACTGACAGAGTTGTTAAATTCTGATATTTCATGTTTTTTTTCTTGTATGCATGACTATCATCGTCACTGCTTGTCTCGCCTACGCTTCTCTTTAAACAAAATCCAAATATCCCTGAAGTCTTTCGTCCATCTGATTGCCGTGCTGTTTATCCTTGATCTCGGGTAAGGTATAGTCATGATCCTCAATTAAGTGCTAGCGATAGTCACGGCTAATGCATCGAATTGTGCCCAGATCCGGGCTTGCTCTCAGTATTAATTTTGGGCGTGTCTGCAAGTGTGAAATTTACAATATGGGTTTTTCGATGGGAGCTACCAAGACAGCCCTGTCGCTGACATCCACACGTTTTCACACTCGATTAAAACAATGCCCCCCCCTCCCCCGCCCGCATACCCACCCTCTGTACTCCATCCCTGTGCCCCCCCCCAGCCTCCTACTATCTAAGCCATTTAAGGTGTCCCTGCTACCTGCCTTCCTGTGGTTGCCATGGAGACTGGGAGGTGTAAACTAAAGAACAGATGGTTCTGTGTAAGTAGGTGTGGAGCGGTCTCCATAACAATCTTCGAGACCAATGGGTTTCTCAGAAAGGCCCTTTGCTGCTGTCTGCAGCGTTTAGATGTTGTGCGTCCTGGGCGACTTGGCCAGCACTCTTTGTAAGGGTGGACCGTGATGGAGCAAATCTTTAATCGCACCCCACCCATAATTCTCCATTGTGTTTGCGTGCAGCTTAGTCTCTGTGTCCGTTTCTGTGATGAGACACTGTGATGCAGACTTGAGGTTAACCATGCTGTGAATCATTACATTTAAAGCTGTTGGAGCTAAGATATTACCATCAGTAGCATTTAAATGAGATGAAGCAGTCGAGAAAATGTCCTGGCACTATATTTTGGCAGTTTTATATATCTTAAATCTTATGTATATTTTTCTGTGTGTTCCTCCTCGACCAGAATACTTGTGTTAATAGAGGTGGAAAGTCCAGGTTCCGAAAGTACAAACCCTGCTTTCTCAAAAAAAATGTATGTCTCTTTGGATAAAACGTCTGCTAGATAAATAAAACTGTCAGCAGTCTTGTGACTCAACACCTAAAGAGAGCAAAAACCACGTAAGTGAGTTGAGGCAGTTGGAGGTGTGCTTGGAAATCTCAGCTGCACTGATGGTGTCCCCACTGGGATCAGGTGAGCTTCACAGCAATCAGGAAGCAGCGTTTCATGAGAGCACCATGGCGCCTGACCTTCAGGTCGCCCTTAAGTGATAAAAACAGCCCTTGTTTTCTTGCCTGACAGGAGTTGGGTTGCCCTCTGGCATACATGGGCAGCGTCAGAGATGCTGCTGTGTGAGGTGGCAGGACGAGCTGCGTCCACCTGACACACAGGCTGCACGCTAACTGCCATGCAGGTTCACCATGATCCAGCATGGGGGGGCATGCAGGCTGTCACCAGATCGTGCATTACATGCAAATCCAAGGGGAAAAAAAAATCTAAGCTTTGATGTTTGCTATCAAGATTAGCAGGATGTCTGTGGGAAAAACAGCAGTGTTTGGTGCCTGTGGTGGTACTTTGCTTCTGATTTTGTTCTGTAAGTAATACAGAACTGCAGTCAGCCTGCTTCCTCAGTCATGCCTGCCTCTGGTCCCTTTAGAGACCTTGCCTGACTGAGCATTGGGATTTGTCTCTGGGTGAATGGAAGCTCTGACTTTCACACAGCTTTGGGAATATTTACAAACACTCTCCCAGCTGTTGTACTGTTTTTTTTTTTTTTTGGGACATAAAATAT